GTGGGGGGGGGGGTGTGTGTGTGTGTGAGAGAGAGTGTGTGTGTGTGTGAGGTGTGTGTGGGTGTGTGTGTGTGTGTGTGTGTGTTGGGGGGGCGGGGAGCGGGTTTAACTGGGACCCATCATGCAGACGGCGAGGGTGTAGTGATTGGTGACAGTGAGGGAGTGCTCCCCCCATCATTATTCCACCCACTACTTGCATCCTGCTTTCAAAGCTGCTGCCCTGTCCTCAGGACAGGTACAGCAGCAAATGCTTATGACCAACCAATCCCTCAATCCCCTCCTCAGGAGAAATCACTCAACACATTAATCCCTCCCCAACTTACAGGATTGGATGCTCGCATTGATTAAAAGCCCAACCAAAAGAAACTGGGAGAGGCTGCACTGATCAGATTATTGTGATTGGCCAAAGCTAATGATATTGCTTGTGAGGCCAAGCTCCTCTTGGCAACAAATGTCATGGGTACCACGTCATGTAAATTTGGTTCCATCAATCCACACTGGAACTCCTCTTAATTCTAAGCCAAGCAAGTGTCGCATAACCTCTGGATTCATTAACAGCTATTAGTGTGTGGACAGAACACACACATCAAATAAAGATAGAACAGGTTTGTGCCAGAGCTTTGGGAATAAAGGAAAGGGCTAGTGAAAGATTATTGGATGTAGTGAAAAGGTAGCAGAGGTACAGTCAGAGAGGGCAAAAGGAAACAAAACAATTTGGTAGGATATTGGGACGCATCTCCATTTGGTATCAGAGGGTGCGGGAATGTGCCATATTGGCATGGCAACATGCTGTGCCATCAAGCGGCTAGGCTCATGCCCCCCCCCCCCCGCCCAGTTTTACACATTGTCAATTTGTTCATGAGGAGGACAGGAAGGGGAGGTACAAGGGGAAGGAAGGCCTAATCGGTCAGTTTCATGCCAGTCTAATGCCAGTTATACAGCCCCATGGAACCAAATGCTCAGGTGCTCTCATGACTGTAGCAGCAATGTTAATTGGGCAAGGAGCAGAGTGAGGGAAAGAAGTGACAAAAATAAATGACTTTAAAAGCACAAAAATAACAGAATTCCACAGGGCTGATGGTCAAAGAGTTGTCTTTTGTGAAGCTCTGAACTTAGAATGCGGAACTTTTGTTTGTAAATCTCTAACTGGCACCAAAGCTAACCGACCATCTTGTAACTGGGCATGTCATCCTGGTTCATCATTAGATAGTGCTGCTGGCTGAGGGCCTAGCCAGGCCAAAAGGGAAGGAGTGAATTAAATTTAGGATTCAGGATCCAGTGAGATCAGAATCTACGCAGATCCTATTTGAGGGCTTGCCTACAGAGTGGAATGGACACGATAGGACACCTACACTATGACAAAATAGACTGGAAAATGCAGACATTGCACTAGGTTGAGGGGCTGAATAGCCTGCTCTTCTCCAATTTTTTTTTCCCACAGAATGACTTGGAGATCCAGCTTAGTTTCCAGTTTGTTACTGAGTCATCAGTTTGACTGCAAGAGCACTGGGAGTCCAGTTGCTGGGGTGAATGTTAATAAACAGCTCCATGAGGGAGCAACTCACTATCTGTACACGTTGGTTCCTGCTCCATGGCTAGTAGCTGCTTCGGAAGATTGCAGGCTATATCAGTGCTTCAGTAGCGTGGTGCTAATCTTCAGGCACACTCGGGCATATCTCAGCTGCTTTGTGACATGCTGCAGGATTTAATAAATAAGCAGTGTTTCAATCAGCACAAATTCCACGCTGCATTATGCCAGTGTGATTGACCAGCTGCTGAGTTGGTGCCAACTTTACATTCCAAGTGCTTATTTGGCGTTGAGGGTTTGGTGAGAAGGTTCATAGTGAAGAGGCAGAAGAGTAAAGTAAGTGAGCGGGAGGTGCGAGCGGCAGTGGTTAGTCAGGGAGGTGGAAGCAGGCTAGTTAGAGAAGTGCTCAGAAGAATTTTGAAGCCACAAGGCTTTACCTTCAGTCCTGTGCTTGGTAGGGAAACCCTGCAAGGTCTGGGATCTGGAGTGGGGAAAGCTGCCATCCCCTGGTCGTTTGAGCCTGTGAAAGGCACAGAGCTTCTCTGAAAAACCTAATGGGACCAGAAATTGGGAAGAAAGACATAAAAGACATTGCGTAAAGTACAACTTTTCTTTTCTCTGAAAGACCACCAACGAATAAAGATCATTTAAGGTCAAAACAAGGACAATCTGCAAATTGGAAACCGGGAGGTTTGTAAATGTAATTGGTTGCGCTCTAGAACCACACGGGTTGAATTTGTGTGGAATCCATGCGAGGCCAGTGAATGTGTAAATGGATTGATTCTAATCATGGGCCCTGAAAGATTTGGAAGGTGTCAGCTATAAGTACGACTGAAGTAAAACATGAGAATTATTACAGAGTGTCACCCTGGGTCTGGTTTATCGGATCCATTTGGAATGAGGTTTCGCTGGTCGTGTGCTGGTGCAATCTTCACCCGAGGAACAAGTCGAGGAGCGTTAGAGACCTGGGAATTCCATCAGCGTCCACACGCACAGCCACACGGCTGAGCTGAGCTGAAGTCACAGTGAGGCTGGAAGCATAGCTCAACCCAAGCCTTCATCACAAGTGAATAACAAACAGCAGGCAGATGCATTCAGAGAGGAACACTAGCTTTGAAGCTAGTTAGTGATAAAACATTGATATCATTTAACAGATATTCACTTGCCTGTTTGTTACTTTGGAGTAAGTGGTAACTTGTAATGAATAAACAACTGAAAAAATGAACCAGTTTCCAGCACAAAATGGACTTTACAGTGTCACACGGTGATCATTTGAGCAGCAGCTGAGGAAGGAAATTGGTTCAAGACAAGCTTTGGTGATCGCACTCCCTCTACCCTGCAGTAATATCAGAATTAATCCAAGAACACAAACCTCCAATTCAGCCATGATCCTATCCTCTTCATCTTCATCATCTCGAACAGCCGATGCCACAATTGGTGGTGGTGTCGAAGGAGGCTTGGCCTCAGACATGGTCCTTCTGAGCTTGACATGTGGTCTTGGTCCATCAGCCTCATCAGAGTCAGCCTTCTGGGAATGGCAGAAAAGAGAGTCTTTACTGACGCTATTTCCTTCGTTACACAATCACAATCCCTGGTAAAAAAAACTTCGAGGTGGGTCACTATAGTTTTATTCTTAGGAAGGGCGGCACGGTGGCTCAGTGGTTAGCACTGCTGCCTCACAGCGCCAGAGAACCGGGTTCGATTCCACCCTCGGGTGACTGTGTGGAGTTTGCACATTCTGCCCGTGTCTGCGTGGGCTTCCTCCGGATATTCTGGTTTCCTCCCACAGTCCAAAGATGTGCAGGCTAGGTGGCCTGGCCATGCTAAATTGCCCGTAGTGTTCAGGGATGTGTAGATTAGGGGAATGAGTCTGGGTGGGATGCTCCAAGGGTCAGTGTGGACTTGTTGGGCCAAAACGTCCGTTTCCACACTGTAGGGATTCTATGATCTATGAACTAGCATTTATAAAGCACCTTCAATTGAAGAAAACATCCCAAGGTGCATCACAGGAATTTAATCAACCAATAATTACAACTTTGACCAAGCTTCAAAAGTATTTTATTGGCTGCAAAGCACTTTGAGACATCCTGAGGTCATGAAAGGTGTTACATAAATGCAAGTTTGTTCTTTATTGAGGGTGACATCAGATTTCACATGGATAATGATGATGATGATGACAGCCTGTGAGCCTGCTAATACTTATAGAAGAGTTGTAGCAGTTTATTATTTAACATTTATTTAGAGAAGCTCCACTGCCAAGCAGTCACCACCTCATTTGCTGAGTTTAAGATGATCACTTCGCTACTTCATCTATAAAGGAGATACTCATCGGTAATGTGCAGCATTCTCTGTGTTCTTCCACACTGCACAAAGGCTTCGCACTGAGTCCCCAGCAATGGAGCTGTGCAGGCTCCCTGCCTTGTTCGAGTTAACAAAGACCACACCTGTCAAGGTAGGTCAAATCTCACCATTCGCCAGAGGGGGTTTGTCACAAAACATCTGTCAGTGATTTTTCTGAAGAAGGGTCTCAACCCGAAACGTCAGCTTTCCTGCTCCTCTGATGCTGCCTGGCCTGCTGTGTTCCTCCAGCTCTACACCTTGTTATCTCAGATTTTCCAGCATCGGCAGTTCCTACTGTCTCTGTCAGTGATTTCCATGTTTCCCCATTCTTGTGTCTCCTGGTGAATCATGCCTGGGGAGTTGCCCCTTTGAAGGGCACTAAGCTGGAGTGCAGGCAGGAGGTGGATTGAACAGACGAGAGGGTGGGTCAGTGAGGTGTTGCCCCAGTTGGGGTATAAATTAATCGGTGGGTTGATGTCTAGGAATTTGTAGTTTATTGGAACTAGGGGATACGGTAAGCAGTTCAGCACTGTCTCTCTCGGTCTCTAACTAAAAAGAATAAAGTCACCATGGTCATACTAGACCATTGAGCTGCTCTCTCATTACAGAGAGAGGATTGACAGGTGGTGGTTTCACCCGAGAGTCACCACGCCTCAGGTGAGGGAAGAGGTTAAGAAGCTAATTCCTTCATAGTAACTTCAGCCAGTAATGGAATTGAACCCATACTGTTGGCATCACTCTGCTGTTCCGCCAACTGAGCAAACTGACCCCTGTTTTTTTGTGTTTAACTGTAGCCCTTGACTGAACATGGGGCAGAGGAATATGGGGATATATAACCAGGAATAAGGCTAGTTGTTTGAACTAATAATCTCAAGGAAATAGGTTCGAATTACATCACAGCAGCTGGGGAATTTCAACTCAGTTAAATAAATAATAACGGATTTAAAAAAAACCAACTTTCTAGAGTTCATGATGCAAACCACTGTTTTACTGTAAAAGACAACATTTTTCTATTCACTCTTGGGATGTGGGTTTTGCTGGCTGGACAAGCAGTTCTGGTTGCCCCCTTGAGAAGGTGGGGGTGAGCTGCCTTCTTGAACCGCTGCAGTCCATGTGCTCTCGGTTGACCCACAATGCCCTTAAGGAGAGAATTCCAGGATTTTGACCCAGCGACACTGAAAGAACGACAATATATTTCTAAGCCAGGATGGTGAGTGGCTTGGAGGGAAACTTGTAGGGGGTGGTGTTCCTGTGTATCTGTTTCTTAATACCCTTACTCTATCTGTCTTGCCTATAAGTGACTCCAGACCCACAGTAATGAGGTTGACTTTGAATAACCCTCTGGCACGGCCATTTGTATCAAGATAAAGGTTTGTCCAGCCAGTGACGCCCACATCCTAAAAATTAATTTCAAAGCAAGCTGGAATGGGAGTGGGAATGCTTCCAGGAAGCAGCCTGCTCCCACACACACAGGATCAAAGTTGTTCTGATCCATAGACCCAGCACAAACCTTCACTTGACTCTAGACCACAATGACAGGAGTGCATGAGGGTCTCAGAGCAAACAAGACTCTCAGCAGAGATAGTAGGAACTGCCGATGCTGGAGAATCTGAGACAACAAGGTGTAGATCTCGATGAACACAGCAGGCCAAGCAGCATCATAGGAGCAGGAAAGCTGACGTTTCGGATCTAGACCCTTCTTCAGAAATTTTTTTTTCACTTCAATGTCCTTTCAGGCAACAGCAGTCACCTGTTGTTGATAATAACAGTACAGCAGCAGGCCATTCAGTCCAGCTAGTTTGTGCTAGCCTTCATACCCCACAAGAGACTCCACATGTTCCAGCTCCGTCATCCCAGCCTCTCAATAACTCTTCCACTTCCTTTCTGTCATCCATTTTACTGATTTCCTTTTCAAAGGTAAACCATTTGCCTCAGCCACTCCCCACGGCAGCAAGTTTCACTTTCCCAGTTGCTCTTGGAGTGAAGGAGTTTCTCTCAATTAGATTTATCGACCCTTGTTATTTATAAATCCTTGTTTGTTAAAGGGACGCTCACATCGTGAAAACTGTTTTATCAAACTCCCTTTCTCTCTGAGGGTTTTGTTCCTTTAAAGTGGGACAGAAGGACATTACAATGAGTCTTACCTTGAGGGTTGATTCTTTTTTGTTGGTAACGATGACCTCCCCAGTTCTTCCTGTGGTCAGCCCATGGGATGACGGGAAACTGCGTCGCGGAGGAGGCGGAGGGGGTGATTTGGAGGGTTTCTCTGTTCGATATCTGTGGACTGTCAGCTCCTCTGTAAAACAAGCTGGTCTGTTAACCAGTTAATATTAGTCACCAATACATCCTCCACCCATCTCTGTCCCCATTCTCCATGGACAAGAGCCAGTAGGAATTTCACTTCAAGCAGATTGAGAAATAACTGCCTTTCCACAATAAGTACAGAGCAGTGGGGGTGCCATTTGGCCCATCATAGCTGCGCTGACTCTCTGCAAGATCGACTCAGTTCATCTCATTCTGTTGTCCTTTAACCCGAGCCCAGCAAGTTTTATTCTGTTCAGATAATTCTACAATTCCATTTAGAAAGACAGAACAGAATCCACCTCCTCCAAGAGGCAGACACTGTCTCCCGTGGGGGAAGGATTAAGGAGCAGGACGCAATGGTCAGAGTCTGGTCACTCTGTAATTGAGAAAGACTGCGCCATCTCACAGTTTTACAGAGACCATAGGGGTCAGGTAGTAGCAGTGGCCATCACTCTCACCGTGGAGTTCAGGACAACTGAAGGGATTTCAGCAAAAACTCTCATACTCCCCATGCTGATCCACTCAGTGCCGAGGGAGCAGGCACTGTCAGAGGGTCAGTGCTGAGGGAGTGCCGCACTGTCGGAGGGTCAGTGCTGAGGGAGCGCCGCACTGTCAAAGGGTCAGTGCTGAGGGAGCGCCGCACTGTCAAAGGGTCAGTGCTGAGGGAGTGCCGCACTGTCGGAGGGTCAGTGCTGAGGGAGTGCCGCACTGTTGGAGGGTCAGTGCTGAGGGAGTGCCGCACTGTTGGAGGGTCAGTGCTGAGGGAGTGCCGCACTGTCAGAAGAGATTTTAATTAAGCTGAATCATTTAGACAAGTCCTATTGGTTGAAAGAGCTCCCAGAAAAATATTCTGAAGAAGAGTAGGGAAACCTAATGTTTATTGCATAACAGACATCATAAATAATCTGGAGACCCTTTGTCTAGATTCAAAATCATTGAATTGCTGATAAGTACAATGCCAAAGCATAACATTGTGCCCATTCAGCCTATGCTGGTGTTTGATCCAGCTTTCGTGCCTCATCCCACAGTATTCTGCTTTTTGTCCATTACTGAGTGAAGCCCTCATTCTCATCGCAGGGAAAACCTCCACCCAGGCACCGGTTAGTTTTATCAGTGATAACATTCAAGAAAACCTCCTCTTAATCTTTCTGAGCCCTTTAAAGATTTCCTGAAATACAATGCCTGAAATTATTGACAATACTTCTGCTGAGGCTGTACAGAAAGTCCTGGAGGACAGGAAAGTGGCTCCAGTAGAGATTTAAGGAGAATGGTATGAATCTACACACCTGAGTGTCTTCGCCCATTGGGATCCATCTTTGCCACTGTTTTCTGTGCGTGCTGAGGTTTTGCCTGCTTCGACTCAGCTGTTGGCATGGCGACCGTTTTTGGTTTGTTGGCAAACCCTAGATCAGGGATTGCTTTCATCAGCTCCACTTGTGTCTCTTCGAGGAGACGGTTAATGTCTTTGTTACTGAACTGAGTCAAACTGGCTCGTTTCTCTTCCCAGTCCCTCTCTGCTGCCTGAACACAGGAAGAACAAATTAACAGTCTGCATGTTTATACCTGGTCCTCATACTCACTCACACCAACACACACCAACACACACACACACACACCAGTCTCAGTCACACCAACACACACACACACTCCAGTCTCAGTCCCTCTCCCACA